AATTGCTTTTCCCTCAACAATCACAAAAGCAGGGGTAAATTAATTGCCCTCAAGAATGGTCAATCTGGTTTGCACTTACACAAAAGCAGACCCTCAAAAGAAGACACTCCGACTCCCAAATGGATGTTTGCACATTGAGTCGAATTTTGCGGAGACCCGCCGTTGCGCCTCAGGTTGGAAGGTGTCGACTCCGTGGACCGCTTTGTCCTTCAAGGGGACATTGCCAGGTTGCCGCTCAGCTCGTGGGACTGTGCGTTGCAGAGGTGGCATTTGGCAGGGTTTCCGAGCCATTTGGGTGTGGCTCAGAAATAAAGAGCTAGGGTTACGCAGGTTTTAGTCTTTGGTTCCATGTACCAAGGTGCCATTTGGTACCTGCTCTTGAGCCACAGCCATTTCCCTTTTTCAATCCTCAAGTGGCGTTCTTTTCCATGCAAAACAACCAGTATCCATGGACCCCTGTTTGGCAGGGCGGGTTGGCTCGGCTGACTCTCTGTCCGCATACCTTGCATTTTGCTTTTGAGTTGCGTAGGATTGTTGAGCTTGCCTGGGCATGGACAAATGATGGGCTGCAGGAATGGACGATGATGGATGACCTGTTTTGCTTGGCCCATTGCTATGAGGCGCCTCCGCACTACGATGTGACGCAATGGCTCGGCAAAAAGCAAGAAAATCGGCGAGCTGCGGCGGCGGAAACCGACAATGCAAATGGACCTGCTTCTCGGTGTTTCGACTGAACGAGCTTCGCACAGAAAATATGCTGAGCATGCACTTTTGCATTACATGTGATATGTTTCCAAAAATGCCCTGAACTTGGAACCCTACCATGGGTCTTGGACCATTGTGTGCAACTGCCGAACCGCGAATCCAAAATAGCACAGCCAAAGCAAAAACACAGCAGAGAAAACCCTTGCAGCTCCAGGTACGCGGGAGGTGTCAGTCGGAAGCCAGCACCAGCACCAGCCCCTCAGGAGGCTCGCTCCGAATGCTTGGGCAGTTGCTGAAAAGGGTTAATAGAGACCAGCCTCTAAATGGTTGGTATGTTCATGTCAGGTGTCACTCTATACGTTGGGTTGCCAATCTAGTTTTATAACGCACTTAAATTGGCTGGGAAGTGGGAACTGCCCTTGTGCTGTTCAGCGACCTGCCAAAAACAGGCAGAACTCGCTCTCTATCTGAGAGCCGCCAGGTTCCACATGACGCACTGGAGTGGGTTGTTCTTGCTGCGCGCCACTGCATTGTGTCGGCTACATTCCTGTGGCCTTTTCCTGCGGCCGTTCCAGCCTTCGGCCAGGAGCCGGCACATGCAAGCGCAGGCAAAGCCGGCCAGTTGCGGTTGGCTTTGCTTCGGTTTTCTTGCATGCCACTTGGCGTCCTTCTTGCCTTCCTGCTTTTGTCCAGGCCCCACACCCAAAAACGCGAAGCCCTAGAAGGCTTCCCCTTTTCAGCCCCAACCAAAGGCCAGGTTGCATAGTGCGTGATGGAGTGTCCTTGTTCGTTTGGTCCTCTGAGAGGGGCTGACTTTGGAGGCCAAAAAAAAACGGTTGCTGGGCCGTTCATGTGAAGAGAGGGCCCTCTTCAGATCCGGGGATGGATCTGAGCCTTCAAGCTGACAGCCCAGAAGTCTGACGAAGACCTTCGGTTGGTGTGGAGGAAATGCGCCCGGTTCCAAAAAAAGCTGTCGATCGGTATGTTAAGAAATCCGTGTGTTTGGGCCAGGGTCTGGAATATGTCTTCAACATTTTAGATGGGGAATAAGAAGTGGATTAAGACGGAGCTAGCACGACATGGGTCTGGGATACCTCTTGTTTGAGCAGAGTCGATAGCAAGAAGCTCAAGAAGTACAATGAGTAGCGGGGAGGTGAAACATATGGGGCCTTCTGACTTTCGGAACTTCATGTTGGCCCCGCCTTGCGCTTAGAAAAGGTTCACAGCCACCCTCATGACGCCAGGTGCGGCTGGCTCAGATGAAGAGATGGTGATGGAGGGTATGGAGGGAATGAAGGATTTCAACATGCCGCTGCTGCTTGGCAGTTTCGAGCCAAACTCGCGCATTGCGGGGGATGTAAAGACATAGAGGCCTCTTGGATGGGCAAAGCACCGCAGGGCGAGAGCATGGAGTTGGTCCAGTGATCAACCTTTGCAGTTTTTTCGCGCCATGATTGCTTGCCACTTCGGCTTTCCCAGGTCCTTTGGCAAGCAGAAGCCCATCAAAAATGCCGACGCCTCAGGTCACTGGACACAACGCCTGTCTCCCCTTCAACCCCTGAACTTGGCCATGCTTCCCAGCAGTTGTATGCGGCGAGCCTCTATTTTTCGAAGGCAGATGGAGGGCTTCGGCCGTCTCGCCGCGTAATCCTCGCCGCGGACTCCTGAGGTCGGCCCCTCGGCACACAACGCCACCCAGCGCAAAGCGCGAGGCGCCCTTGGGCCAAGTCTTAGCACGGACTTCTGGAAGCCTTGTCGTGTGCCGTTTTTTTCTCCCCAAAGAGTTGGTTAAGCTTTGTGGTCTCTGCCCAGGCGGTTTTAGAGGGGTTTTGGGGAGGCTGCGGGGCTTGGGATGGGCTGTGACCATGGCAGATGGTCTTCTCGAGTTTCGCCAGGCGAGAAGGCGGTGGCCAAGGGCGTGCAGTTTGGTCACCGCATCACGGATGCGGCGCGGGGCGCGGGCTGGGGTGGGTCGGGGGCCTGTCGGGTGTTGGGAGCCGGTGGAAGTTTGAAGACCTCCGTAAAACGGACGGCGATTTTTGTTTGGCAAAATGAATCACAGCAGAAGGGCTCCCGATAGGCCAAGAGTGATATTGAGGTTCCTCTTTTGAAGGTGATGGATAGACGGGCACGCAAGGCCGCCCCCCTTCCCGCCACCAGGCCGCCAAGGCCGGAGCGCTGGCACGGGTCAAGGCCAAGGATGCCAGGGACGCTAAGGCGCCTGAGACTTGTAACGCCCTCTGATTTGAAGGCAAACCAAAAAACTCGCTTGCACAATATCAGTGGACACCTTTTGCGATGCCTTGCCGGGTCAAGACCCTCTGGACGCCACGGCAGAGAGAGAGAGAGAGGCGAATCGACATTTTAACCTTTTGGTTTTCCTGATTTTGTCCATAGTCAGTGAAGGTTCCAGAAGGTCAACTTTTTATCTCCTGGTCCTTTGGGCAAGCGAGAAAGCCACACTACGGTCCGCGGTCTTTGCGCACCTTGGAATGTGAAGGCAAACAACGAGGGTGTTTCCACCATGTTCAAATGGCCGTGGGTCAAAACCAACGATACCATTTTGGGGTAGGTGAATTCACCACCCATTTTAGGCTATGTTAGTGGTTGGATTGGGATGTTTACTGGGGTACGATTTGGATTTTGACCGGCCAAGTGATATTTTTATGAGCGCTTCCCATCCGGCAGAGGCGAAGGGCAATGAGGCCGAGCCGCAGCCTGGAACGGACAGCGAGGAGGTGAGCCGCAGGGGGCTGAGGGCTAAAAGTAGTATCATATGGGTATGGGTCAAGGGGAAGCCAACAAGAAAACCACAAAACTGTGGACCTACATGTTTACAGTGATGGGCCGTCTTGATCAAAACTCGATTGCCTTTGCTTGCGCCGTGCTTGTCTGATCCACCAACATGAAAGCTAAGGGTACGTCCTACCAGCAATGCAAAAAGGTTCTCATGCTGCGGCTGGGAGGTAAATCCAAATCCAAAACACATCAGTCCTCACTGACATTCACTGCCTCTGGGTGCACCCTCTATCGATCTGCCATGCCAGACTGTCTTGAACCCGCTGTTGCCTTCCCTCCCTTGATCGGTAGACAGAAATCGTCATGTAAGCAATGCGCGCCAAAGGGCGAATGTCCAACTAGAGTCCTCCATGGAAATAGGATGGGGGCCCGTTTGGTGGTCAACCATGAGTCACGCCGTTATTGGGGAACCCCCGCAATGCGCAATTTAGAAATGGAATTCTCCCTTATAAAGCAGGTCGTAGTTACCCTCCCTCCTAGGGGACATTTCTTGAAGGAGAGGCAGAAACCAGGGGAGTAGATTTCCACACCCGCACTGACATGCACTATGGGGCAACTTGTTGGCATGCATCTCCCTTGGCATATGTATGTGGGTCAAACCAATGGTTCCATTTTGGGGTAGGTGCACCACCCATTTTAGTCTATTGTTCACTGGTTCTGCTTGTTGCTGCACGCCCTGCTTGCGCGATATGTTATGCCTGCTCCTCGCTTGCGCACCTGCCAGGAGGATGGGCCTGTTGGCATGTTGATCACTCCAGGTGGGCCGGACTGTTCGCACGCGCTCATGGTATGGAAACAGTCGCCACCTCAACCTCATCAACTTGCTTCAGTCTGCCTCACGAACTCTGCGCATCACCTCAGCTACCCTCCCAATTAGCATTGAGCCCGACAAACCCGGTCCCAAGATGGTTCAGTATCATGGACCCAACGTCAGGTTTCCTTCGGTACTTGGCGGGTACTCGGCTTCAGCCCCTGTTCTTGGCGAATGCGCCCAGCTCGGCACGAAGAGCCGGACGAGCTGCCGGAGCCGGGCAAGGAGCAGACGTGTGGATTGAATGAACCACAAACGGGGCTCCAAACCAAGAGGGCTGAAATCCTTTTCAAGGCCCAGGCAAGCCCCATGGAAGGAATTTCCAGCAGGGTTGTGGGATCAAGGGGTTTATTCCCACTTCTGTGATACTTTTGGGAATCTCCCCCTTTATATGGGGTGTTAGTCTTTGGGGTTAGGCCCTTTTTGTTGTATCACAGAAGTGGGTTCCATTTCCCACAACCCTCATTTCCAGGGTTCCGTCGGGTTTTCACCACTTTGGGAGTCCAGCGCACCGAAGCCCAGCCCGGGAAGCCATGCACAGGAGCTCGAGGTGATCCCAGTGACCCACGAGGTGGCGGTGCCCTGCTACGCGCCTGGGGCTGCAAGGGATCGGTTTTGAGCCATCGGTACGGCTCAAGTTGAAAAGTCTGAGCTGGAATGAGAAGACTCAAACGTCCTTGGCTTGCTAGAAAAACTGGTAGGAGGTGGAGGTTGGTCCTGTTTTGAGCTGGGAGGCTGGGGTTGGAAGTTTGGTGGAGCTGTCTTGAGTCGTTCGCGGCTCTTGCTTGTCACCCCAGACCAACGCCAAGTAAGCTGAATTTGGAGGGTGCCATTGGTGTGCAACGTTACTCCGGCTTAGAATCAGGCATTGCAGGTAGTGCTTAGCCAGTGGTTGGAATTTCTGGCTTGGTGATTTGGCGCCGCTGCTGGTTGAATTTAACGGCAGGCACCTCTTCACCTTCAATCCGCAGAGCTAATGTGAATGCCGGCAGGTTGACCCATTGGGATGGAACTTTGGAACCGTGACATTCGCACCCAACAAGATTTTGTTGCACCCGGGTCTTCGGACAACTGGGTATAGCGGCTGGTGCTTGTCATGCATCGGGCCTCACGATGATTTCGCTTGGTCGGAGAAAATGTATTGCTTTCTGTTGCGGTGCTACGGTCGCATCTTGCCCCATCTGGTGGCTGACATGGAGACCTCCTTTGGGGGACGTCCATGCCGCAGGCTATTTGAATGGTAGTCGCGACCATTTGATACCCGAATCACCCGATTGGATTCATAAACCCCGGGTTGAGTACCGCCCAGCTTTGTCTCCGTGGTCAACCTTTAAAAACATGTGGGCAAGACACACTGCTCGAGCGATTCCAGCCAAGGAGAACAAGGCGGTGACCGCCATAGGCCGAGTTTTGACTTGCACCAGCTCGACTTTCGACTTCGCACGCCCTTGAGCCCATTCGCAATGACCTGAGTGGGACCCGTTTTGCTGCTTTCCAGCAAATGCCTCCCCGATAGAAGGCGAGTTGATTCCATCGCACTTGCTCCTCACTGCGGTTTCCTGGTGCCAGGGCTGGATCCCAAAGGCTCGCGGATGATCACAGGCACCTCGGCCTTGGCGCAATAACAACTTTACAGCTGGGGTGGACGACCATTCCATGAAAGCACGTGCCCTTTGGGCACCCGGGAAAGACAAGTCACGTCACATGCCCAAAAACTGCCATGTTCGCGGGGAGGGGTCTGTCCTCATGTGGGGCACCCGACATTGGCTGGTCCTTGTATGCCACCCTGGGGAGAGGTCTATGCTCATTTGGGCACCCGACGGTATGGCAGGACCCTTGTGTGGGGATTGCGTGGTCTTTGCTCGGCTGCATCGGCTGCAGGCGGCTTAGACGGGACTTGCAAGTTCTTCGACTTCCACGGCATGTCCGAGGCGAAGGCAGGGCCCTTTATGGAAGGCACGCTCAGGTCTAATTCCCCTGCCTCGAAGCCTGGTTGCCTGGTTGGAGGGTAGGTTGGTTGGTTGGGTTTGGTTTGGTTGGGTTTGCTTTGGTTTGGTTGGTTTGGCTGCATCAGACTTCTCAAAGCCATCGTTCCAGCCTTGCCGGGTCCGGGTCCGCGGCCAGCTCGCCAGCTTCCATCCCGGTCCAAGCGAGGAGGCGTTCCGCAGCCTCGAGCCGGTGGAGGGCAAGATGGTGCACTCGCTGTCCTTCAGCACCACCGGAGGTCAGGCCAGGCGCAAAGCCCGCTACGAGCGAGCGGGGGGTGAGCAAGAGCTTGGACGTCTCCTAAGGAGTTGGGGGAGGGGGATTTGATTTTTGGAGATCTCCATTTGTGGTTTAACCCATTTTATACCTTTTCGGAAGGCCACGCGGATCCTTGAGCCGTGAGTTGCAGGCCTTGCCCATGAAGGGTTTCTTTGCCGGGCTAATTTCAGATGTGGAATGGCTGTGTCTTAACATATTGGAGACTCCTGAAGTGCTTGGTTTCCTTTGCAAGCCACCCCAAAAAGGGTACTCTAGCAGAAAGACAATCTGGCGCCAGCCAGGCGAGTTGGCGAATGAGTGGTTCAAGTCGGGGTGAGTGCGCCTTTGCCAGTTGTTGTGTCAACCTTTGATTTTGCTGTCCCTAACCCCACTCAACATGATTCATGGCTGCTGAAGTGTCCAGTTCAGAGCGCAAGCTTTCTGCGGCTCCGAGTTTCCAGGGCTAGTCCATCACTCGAGGGCCGCCCGGCCACATCACGTAGACGTATGTTCATCTATATGCATATATGTATGCATATGTTTCTATTTGTACTTAAACACGCATTACGTATGTTAATTGATATGGGACCCCCCAAAACGGCAGTTGTCCTCTTAGTTTTCCCTTACTTTCCCTCAAAGGCTACCCTTTTAAAGCCTTTGTGGTTTCCTTTCCGGCTTTCCCAAGTTTAAGGGCACTCAAAAAAACAAAAACAAAGAAAACACATGCCCTCGCCAGGTTTTAGTGGTGAACTCCGACGCTAGCGCTCGGATCTACGACCGCGACGGCGGCTTTGACCGGGCATTCAGATGGGTTGCAACTGACTTGTTTTTTGTTTGTTTGTTTGTTTGTTTGTTTGTTTGTTTGTTTGTTTGTTCCTTTCTTTTTTCTTTCTTTCTTTTGTTTGTTTGTTTTTTCTTTCTTTATCTCTCTCTCTCTCTCTTTTTCTGTCTTTCTTTCTTTCTTTCTTTCTTTCTTTCGTTCTTTCTTTATTTCTTTCGTTCTTTCTGTATTTCTTTCTTTTCTTTTCTTTTCTTTCTTTCTTTCTTTCTTTCTTTCTTTCTTTCTTTCCTTCCTTCTTATTTTTTTGGCGTTTTTGTTTTTTTGTTGCGGGGGCGGGGGGGCGGGGGGGGATAAGCATTTTTTGACATATGGGGCAAGCTTGCCCAATGTAAAGCTACAACACCGAAGAGTGCGGCTGTCATGTACGCAGTTGCTGGGCCACTCGTCTTGTGGCTTGCGCTGTTTACCTGGGCTTTTGAGAGCCTGCGTGCATGCACTCGGCTGCTTTCCCTCAGCCTGCGCTTGCATTGGCCAAGGATCCACGAAGATGATCCAGCAGACGGTGCTAGGCCCGCGCGGGAAAATCGCAAGGATGCGTGTCGAAGCGAGGCCGCCCCCGCTGACTCCCGTAAGGGGGGAAACACAACGCCCAGCATTTGGATGGGTTGATATCGTATCGACATCGATGTCGCGGCCATTGTCAGGACAAAGCAATGGAAGCTAGAGCGTGGAGCTAACTCAAATCTTTATTTGTTGGTGCTCAGTAGGGGATGACCTAGGGTGTTGGGAATTAATTAAGCAGGGGATTCCCTCAAAGGAAACCACGAGGGATGGCTTTTAAGGTCATTTCCTCATTCCCTGCCTATCAAACCAGGAAATCAGCAAGTTTATGGGCCAGCCTCAAGTAGGAACTCAAGGGTGCTCAATGGGGGAGCTAAGCTCCACTCACTCCAATGGGAGGGGGGCTTGAGCAATGTGGCGAGCTACAATCAAAAGACGATTCCCCATCAAAGCCATGCCCTTTGCTGCACGAGCGGGTCGAGCGGGGAGGTGACATGTACGTCCGGCAGATGGAGCACACGAAGGGCCACACGCAGACCCTGACACATGGACAGTGGCATCCATTCAGGCCGGCGGCATCCATCCATTCAACTATGGCCTGGGGGCGTTTGGTTCGGGAGGTCTTCTGAGTCTCTTCTGCCGGGAAGCCAAGGCTAGGGGCACACGACGATGTACCCATAGAAGTTGGTTGCGCCAAGTAGGGCTGGTCAGCCAATTCAGGAGTGAGCTCTTCTTGACATCTTCGCTGGATGGCACCATGCGGATGTGGGACATGCCACTTGGCTAGCGTCCAAATAGCTGACATGTCCGAGACGGCCATGGGCTCAGCTTCGAAAAGCGCTCGGAATGTTTCACTGGAGCGGTCGATCTATGTTTCCCGGGCTCAGTGCTGTAATTTGATGCGAGACGACCAGGAGAAGGGCAATGCAAAGGTATGGACATGTGACCGAAAGCTGTCAAGCATCAATTTGCGCTTCCTGCGCAAACCACTTGTTGGCTCCCCGTTGGTGCCATTTGGGGCTTCACCGAGGACAGCCGACCCCGTGGGCATGGACCAGGTGCTGCCGTGCGTCCACGTGCTGAAGACGGTGGACAAGCGCAACGTCTGCGTGGGCGGGGGCTCCGGGAAGCGGCTGGGCGGCTTAAGCGGAAAGCGAAAGAAGACGAGCGGAAAGGAACCCCAGGGCCACCACGCATAGAACCCTTGGGACCATTCTTGGGAATGTTGACCCCATATGAACCACAGTTTGTCAACAGGAGAGTTGGTGTGTTTCCCTGATTCCCCCTCTACACCTAGGGGGTAAGCATTACTGGGCCGAGATTATATAGTACACCCCTCGTTGAATCATTGGGGGTGTCCCAACGTAAAAACCATCCTGCACTGTTGGCAGAAGCACCCGTTGCAGAAACGTGAGACCAACCCATTGGTACAACAACGACCCTTTTGGTTTCCAAAAAGAGAGAGCCAGCAGTTGGTCGTTTGAACGAACTTTGCAACCCTTGGGCACGTTGGGTTGGGGGCAAGTGGCTGATAGATAAGATAGATTGAAATAGAAGAGATGAGATTAGATAGAAAGACGGGGTGGGGCACCATGCCCCCCTTTCTTGACATGCCCACTAGGTGCGTTGGATCTTCAGGGCCCGGAAGCCAAGCGAAGAAATTCCGCGTGCTCCGAGGCAGGGCGGACTCTTCCCCACCGTTTGCTGCTACTCCCCGACCGACGCCAAGAAGATCGTCGCCGGCTGCTCCGACGGCTCCGTGCAGCTCTTCTTTGACAAGGCCGACTTTCTCAGGGGCAGGATGTATGGAAATGCCGGCTACTTAGCAGGGCTCCTTAAAAGATACATTTTGCCCATTTGAAACATGTGTTGTTCCACCTAAATAAAGGGACACCACCATTTACAAGGCAATGTTCAGGTGTATAATGTAAGGATCCCTGCTTAGAAAGGAAGGTCAACGCAACGGAACAACCCGAAAAACTCAAACGAAGTTGGGAGCCAAAGGATACCGCTGGAATCCTGAATTGGTGAATTGTGGGACAGCCAAATGTTCGCAGACTTGGGGTGTGTGAGGCCTTAAGCGGCATAGTGAATATGCATCATGACAGGTTTTGTTGTGATTGACCGACACGTTCAGGGCAGTTGCTTGCCCGTAGGTGCCTCAGTACAATGCCTGGTGCAGTCTTTGTTGTTTGAATTTGCTCCGGCTGGTAGTGTTGTGAAACCATTCCGAAGTAAGCATGATCCTTGTGCACGCGCAGTTAATTGTGGTTTCTGCAAGTGGGCCCCCATTTGAGATCAGTGCCATGTTGGTTGACAGCTTGGATCCTGCTTGGCACGTGTGGTTTTGGTGTGGTGTTGGTTTGCGGCTCGGGGGCGGGGGGGGTAGAAAATCTCAAAAAGTAGCGGGGGGGTTGGGGGGGGAGGGGCGGCGGCCAGCGGAGAGCCACCCTGATCAACGCGCGGCATGCCTCGCCAGGCGCGGTTCATGCGGCCAGACAGGACCCGAGCTGCGGGCGGGGAGCCGGGCAGGACCATGAAGTTGTGGTTTTCTCAGCTCGCTTCGTGTGTTCAGGCGACTGGACTTCATGCTTCTTGGGAAGACCATTGTAGTGGCAAACAAAAGGTTTGGACTTTGTTTGGCCAATCCACTCAGGAAGTGAGAAGTTGGATGATGCGAACTTCCCCAATGGGACGGTTGGGATTCTTGAGGGAATTCTCAGCGACCAGGACCTGTCCAACAATGTCGAATAGAAACTTTGGCTTCGCCTCGCCAGATGAACGACAGAATAGTAAGTCCCTCGGAATCACCGTATGAATCAGCCAGGCTGCAAAGACTCCATGTCACTTTGTGCCACGAGTGCTTTGCGGCAAATCGCGAGAGCTATGTCAGCATTGAGTTTTTTCCCCACATCTTTGTGTGGGGTTCTTACTTTTTCCGCTCGTCGTCCGCGCGCCGCGTCTCCTCCTCCTCCTCCTCCCGCTCGTCTCCGTCTCACTCACTCACTCACTCACTCACTCACTCTCACTCACTCAACTCACACTCACTCAACTCACACTCACTCACTCACACTCGCTCACTCACTCACTCACTCAGTCACTCACACTCACTCACACTCACTCACTCACACTCACTCACACTCACTCACTCACACTCACTCACACTCACTCACTCACGCTCACTCACACTCACTCACTCACGCTCACTCACACTCACTCACTCACACTCACTCTCATTCACTCACTCTCATTCACTCACTCACTCACTCACTCGCTCACTCACTCACTCACTCACACTCACTCACTCACACTCACTAGAGGGACAGGATGTTGTCGCGCGCGCGGCGGGGGGCGTGCGAAATCGTGGCAGGCGCAGCACTTTGGCGATGCCGTTGCGAAATCGTGGCAGGCGCAGCACTTTGGCGATGCCGTTGCCGAAGTCGTGGCAGGCGCAGCATTCTGTGCATCTGGGTGTGTGTTTGTGTGGCAGGGGTCGCATTCGGCAGCTGTCTAGAGGGACAGGATGTTGTCGCGCGCGCGGCGGGGGGCGTGCGAAATCGTGGCAGGCGCAGCACTTTGGCGATGCCGTTGCGAAATCGTGGCAGGCGCAGCACTTTGGCGATGCCGTTGCCGAAGTCGTGGCAGGCGCAGCATTCTGTGCATCTGGGTGTGTGTTTGTGTGGCAGGGGTCGCATTCGGCAGCTGTCTAGAGGGACAGGATGTTGTCGCGCGCGCGGCGGGGGGCGTGCGAAATCGTGGCAGGCGCAGCACTTTGGCGATGCCGTTGCGAAATCGTGGCAGGCGCAGCACTTTGGCGATGCCGTTGCCGAAGTCGTGGCAGGCGCAGCATTCTGTGCATCTGGGTGTGTGTTTGTGTGGCAGGGGTCGCATTCGGCAGCTGTCTAGAGGGACAGGATGTTGTCGCGCGCGCGGCGGGGGGCGTGCGAAATCGTGGCAGGCGCAGCACTTTGGCGATGCCGTTGCGAAATCGTGGCAGGCGCAGCACTTTGGCGATGCCGTTGCCGAAGTCGTGGCAGGCGCAGCATTCTGTGCATCTGGGTGTGTGTTTGTGTGGCAGGGGTCGCATTCGGCAGCTGTCTAGAGGGACAGGATGTTGTCGCGCGCGCGGCGGGGGGCGTGCGAAATCGTGGCAGGCGCAGCACTTTGGCGATGCCGTTGCGAAATCGTGGCAGGCGCAGCACTTTGGCGATGCCGTTGCCGAAGTCGTGGCAGGCGCAGCATTCTGTGCATCTGGGTGTGTGTTTGTGTGGCAGGGGTCGCACTCGGCAGCTGTCTAGAGGGACAGGATGTTGTCGCGCGCGCGGCGGGGGGCGTGCGAAATCGTGGCAGGCGCAGCACTTTGGCGATGCCGTTGCGAAATCGTGGCAGGCGCAGCACTTTGGCGATGCCGTTGCGAAATCGTGGCAGGCGCAGCACTTTGGCGATGCCGTTGCCGAAGTCGTGGCAGGCGCAGCATTCTGTGCATCTGGGTGTGTGTTTGTGTGGCAGGGGTCGCATTCGGCAGCTGTCTAGAGGGACAGGATGTTGTCGCGCGCGCGGCGGGGGGCGTGCGAAATCGTGGCAGGCGCAGCACTTTGGCGATGCCGTTGCGAAATCGTGGCAGGCGCAGCACTTTGGCGATGCCGTTGCCGAAGTCGTGGCAGGCGCAGCATTCTGTGCATCTGGGTGTGTGTTTGTGTGGCAGGGGTCGCATTCGGCAGCTGTCTAGAGGGACAGGATGTTGTCGCGCGCGCGGCGGGGGGTGTGCGAAATCGTGGCAGGCGCAGCACTTTGGCGATGCCGTTGCGAAATCGTGGCAGGCGCAGCACTTTGGCGATGCCGTTGCCGAAGTCGTGGCAGGCGCAGCATTCTGTGCATCTGGGTGTGTGTTTGTGTGGCAGGGGTCGCATTCGGCAGCTGTCTAGAGGGACAGGATGTTGTCGCGCGCGCGGCGGGGGGCGTGCGAAATCGTGGCAGGCGCAGCACTTTGGCGATGCCGTTGCGAAATCGTGGCAGGCGCAGCACTTTGGCGATGCCGTTGCCGAAGTCGTGGCAGGCGCAGCATTCTGTGCATCTGGGTGTGTGTTTGTGTGGCAGGGGTCGCATTCGGCAGCTGTCTAGAGGGACAGGATGTTGTCGCGCGCGCGGCGGGGGGTGTGCGAAATCGTGGCAGGCGCAGCACTTTGGCGATGCCGTTGCGAAATTGTGGCAGGCGCAGCACTTTGGCGATGCCGTTGCCGAAGTCGTGGCAGGCGCAGCATTCTGTGCATCTGGGTGTGTGTTTGTGTGGCAGGGGTCGCATTCGGCAGCTGTCTAGAGGGACAGGATGTTGTCGCGCGCGCGGCGGGGGGTGTGCGAAATCGTGGCAGGCGCAGCACTTTGGCGATGCCGTTGCGAAATCGTGGCAGGCGCAGCACTTTGGCGATGCCGTTGCCGAAGTCGTGGCAGGCGCTGCATTCTGTGCATCTGGGTGCTCTGTAATCGCATCCATACAAGGGGCGCACGGTACATGTGTGTGGACATTTGGGAAAAACATAGCATGTGGGGTTATCCGGTCCTTTAATTTTGTTTTAGTAATATAGGGGGCTCGGCTTGCTACAGGCCCACCCCCTCGCCCCCACGAACCCCTGGTCCGCCACTCAGCAAGCTAAAATGCTTTCTTCCCTGGCCTAGTCCAAGTGCGGGTCTTAATATCTTCTGGGTGTTCATGTGAGGTTGCTATTCTTACTATCTCAGTCGCACGTGTCTTTGCTGGGCTGGCTAGCTTTCCGTTCAACTGCCTCTCAAGATATTACTGAGACAGGGGCGCACCCCCATCAAAGAGGACTGTCCAAAAAATTGGTCCCGCAAAAGCTTCACACTTGCAGCGCTACTTGGAGTTTTTCTTCTTTTGGCACTTACAGGTTGGCAGTCACTTATGGCTGCCTTGGTGGTAGTGACATAAGCGACCAGAGACAGCCTTGCTGATAGAAGGCATCGCTGGTGTTCTTTGAACACCCGTCACGGAAAGATGCTGCGACGAGTATTCCTGGCATGCACTAGGCACCTGTATGCATCCACCATCCAATCCCCCACCCAGCCATCCATCCACCATCCACCCATCCACTCATCGTCCACCCCACATCCACCCCCATCCATCCATTCACCACCCATCCAGCAACACATTCATCTACCAAACAAATGTTACCAGCAGCTGACACGACAGACAGCACAAGCGTCTTCGAGCGCCATGCGCCGATCACTAGCGTCCCCTTGGGTGGAGGCGCGGATGCTGAGAAACACGCCGCTTGAAGGGGCGACAAATTGGCGGGTTTGCTCCTTGATGAGGGTCCCACGGCGGATGGACGAAAACCCTGAAAGAGGCTAGCTTTGTTCCTCCTCTCAAGTTCGCATATCCTGCGATGTGATTGTGTTCAAAAGGTGGGGGGCTCGAGGAGGTCAACCTATTTGGCTGGCTCCGGGGCCACAGTGGTCGCAAGTCCCTCCCAGTTTTTCATGCCAACCGAAGTGGACCCCAGTTACCACAAAAGGTAACCAGCCATTTTCCTTTTGGTGTAGACAAGGTGCTTTCCTTGTTGTCCTACCATAGTGGTATCCGGATGTGACCGCTTTAAACACCTGTTGGCCCGTGTCATAACATACATTTCGGTTTCAAAACACTTTGGTCCATACCCGTCACCATAGTGGTAAGTCCCAACCCCTATTTTTTCCACAAGCAAGCAAACACATTCCTCTGGTCCATCCCCCCCCCCCAAAAAAAAAAACTTCCGTGGCAAGTAACTAAACCACATCCTATGGTCCATCCCCCCCCCCCAAAAAAAAAAAACAGTGGCAAGTAAAACAACTCCTCTGGTCCGTGGCCCGGTCTTTCCCGTGGTCCATGGCCCAAGGCCCAAACAAAAAAGCAATCTTTCCGTAGCAAGCAAAACAATTCCTCTGGTCCATCCTCCCCCAGTTTTTCAGCGTGGCAAGGCCCAAGGCCCCACTCTCCGGTGAGGCGCAGCGCGCGCACCTGGCGCCGAGCCGCCGCTCGAGTGGCGGCTCCGGCCGGGCGCTGGACCTGGGCTGCGGCCGGGGGCGGCACAGCCTGGTGCTGCTGGACCTGGGCTACGAGGCGCGAGAAGAAAACGACGCATGCGGGGCGGTGTTCGGGGCAGGCGTCGTTCGTTTTTGTGGAGCTGGTGGTGGGGGGGGGTGCAAGGGAAATTTGAGCAAAAGAAGCCAGAAGAGTTAAACAAAAAAGGCGGGAGACATTTGAGCAACTGACAATTTGGAGTGGTGGTGTGCTGTGGATGTTTGGCGAGGTGAACAATGTTGAGAGAGACCCATGGCTGCGCCATACCACCCTTTGCCGGACTCAGTTGAGCAGCGTTTTTTTTGCCGCAAGCTAATTTAGTGGAGAGAGGGACATTATCCTTGAAAATGTGCACCGCCCCCGCGCGCGGAAGGTTTGCGGAAGGGATTCTTTCGCGGAAGGTTTGCGGAAGCTTCTGGTTTCATACGGACTGTTTCACTTTGTGTGTGTGTTTGCAAAAGCACGTGCAATCTTTTGTTTTGCGTTGCCAGCTGCCGTTTTCACGTGTAAGAGTGAAGCTTCCAAGAAGTTGGGCCAAACCATTTGGGTGCCAGCGCAGCACACTGTGGCACCAGGCTTAGCACGTACTTTGCTGCCATGAGTCCTGCGCTGCCCAAGCTGTGCGGAATCCGTGGCTGTGCTGGATCTGTCAGTTGCTCGGGCACTTCGGGGAGGCTGCTCTGCTTGCAGAAGTCGTACCACGAAGGCTTTCTCGCAACTTTGCCGAACAGCTTGAGCAAAAGCTATGAGTGGACGACTCGGGGCACCCGAGCGCTGAAAGGGACACTTGTAGGCAGGGCCGAGTTGAATAGAAAGATTCGGGCGCGCCCAAGCTCAAACTGAAATGGCGCCAGGCTAAATAGCTGCACACCCAATAGACGCCCCCACGATCTTGTGTAGGCTGTGAAGGCGGCGACTGGGTGTGAAATGGTCATGTTCCCTATTCGCAAGTCCTTCGAAACAAGGTTTCAGCTTCGGAAGAGGGCGCGGTTTTGCTATCCCCTGGGTGTCTTTTGCAGGGATATCCGTTACCCGCTCAGCAGCTCGAGTTTCATTGTCCCTTTTCTCGTGCTTTTGTCTCGGTAGGCCCTGCTTGCGGACCAGTGAGAATGACCCTTCTCTCGTCTATGTTCCATGTTGCGAAGCTAAGGTCAAGAAGAAACGGGCGACGAGTGGCATGCCCAGAGCAAGTTGTCCATCACGGTCTTTGGCGCGCATGCGCGAGAGCCAGCCCACAATGGGAAGCACAAGGAGCTCACATCCTTCTCCTCTCTGAGGTGCTTGATCATGACGCTCAATGAGGAGCATGATGATCAATTAGACATTGCGTCTCATTCGGGAACGACAAGACCTGCAGCGGGAGCGTGTCAAGAAGCTCGTACTTGCTTCTGACTGCGGGCCGCATTTCCGCTCGTACGAGAATGCAGCGCACTTCCTCTCCACACCCGCCGCTCGGTTGCATTGCGTTCTTCCTAATTCGCACTCTGCCACACGTAACACTCGCGCAGTCCTTGGCTGTCAAACCCCGCCCTGCCAGGTGAAGGTTTTCATGTGGACATTTCCGTGCTCTACCTTACAGAACAGCATGGAAAGGGAGCGTGCGATCGCCTCTTTGGGTGGAGCCGAGCATGGATCTCAAAGTTCATCCAAAAGCGCCCCATCTACAATCTCGCGGACCTGCTTGCGTGCTATCAAGAAGGCGGAGCAGACCAGGAACAAAAAAGCCCGGATGGCACTGCATTTTTGAGCTCAGTCTTCAACCCTGGCAAGCATAGGCCAACCAAGCGGTTTTACTTGTCTGCGCCTTCTTTGAAGATCAGCCGTACCTACAGCCTTTCTGCCCGCCTTGACCGGCACTCTGCTGCTGGGGTGCAGGTTGTCAACCACGTCATTTCAGACCTGGAACAGGGAAACCGAGTCTTGCCCCTACGGATCGACGAAGACACAAGTGTTGAGCGCGTGGAACGGCGGCGAGGCTTTTACGACAAGCCGCGCTCTTGGGAAGAAGCTGGCGCAGGCCCTGGCGATGAGAACGGCATCACAAGGCGATTTGCTGCTCAAAAGACGTTCCTTGCCGCAGACACCCCATCGCCAAAACGCAGCCTGAAAGAAAAGATGTCTTCCTTGGCAAAGCGCCTGAGCAAGCAAGCTTCCAGAAAGAGACGGCAAGTATCTCACAGCAAAGCCCTTCGTGCTCCTGCTGCTGCCTCTGCCCCCGCAAATGCCGACTCATCTTCTGCCCTCGCAACAGCCGACTTGGCTTCTTCTTCGTCCTCCTCGTCCTCCACAAGAAGTTCGTCAGATGATGAATGCTAGTAGGTCGCTGCCGACCTAAGAAAACAAGAGCTTGCTGCGCGGCCTGCTGTCGGGAAGCACTTAGCTACGTAGCTTTTGCATGGAATCCAATCTGCGCCAACACTTGCGGAAGCAACACTTTTTTCTAAATTGCTTTCACGGTCCTTTCTGCGCCAACGCTCGCGGAAGCAAATCTTGTAAAACATGTGCCGCGGAAGGTTTGCGGAAGGAAACAATGAAGAACATGCACCGCAGCCGCAGAGGTTCGCGGAAGGGACCTCGTGGCCCGTGGGAGGGATGCGGAAGGGTTCGCGGAAGCATTGAATAATGTCCACTCAAGTTTAAAGGGAATAAAAACCAACGCTCAGTTGTCTTTAGCGATGTCCTTTATCCCCGGGCGGGATGCTGCGAAGCCAACGCACCCACACGCTGATATCGCCGATATCCACCATGGCGGGTCCAGAGGGGAGGAGATCGTCGCACTCGCGCGCGCCGATATTTCTCCCGTGCTCGGGGAGGATATCGCCGTGGCCCGGCAATCGAACCCGCCATGCCCCCACCCCCACCCCCCACAAAAATGGGTTGCCCATGCCCTCGAAGACAAAGCAAATTTTAAAGGAAAGAAAATAAAGAAAGGAAAACAACAAGAACAACCATGACAAAAACAACAACATGATCGGCTTTCGGCTCGGCCCGCAGACACGGCTCGTGCTTGTTTCGTCAGGTGACGGCCGTGGACCGCGACGCCGCGGCGCTGGAGCAGCTGAAGCTGCGTGCGGAGGCGGGCGGCGCCTGCGAGCGACTGAGGCTGGCGCAGATCGACGTGGAGGCCGGGAGATGCGGGGGATTTATATATATATATATACACAATCATTATCAGTAGTATTATTATTGTTATCGTTATTGTTATGATTTTCGGCCGGGAACTCCGGGAACCCTCAACAGACAAACTTGCCTTAAAGGAAGGAGGCGGCAAAGTAGGCCCTGAAAGAAGGGGGAGTTCCAGGTTATGACCACCTGGTTTGGTGTAACCGAAGTACGGAGCCCTTCCAGTGATATGACGGAGGGAGTCTTCACATCCCTAGCAAGGAAGATCCGTCACCAAAACATCCCCGCAAAAAGGAAGTTACAACATTGCAAGATTCTCAGGGCCTCATTTGCCCTGATTCATACTCCAAGCCGTGCGGGGATGGGTAGGGGAAATCGGAAACGATGGGGCATCGCCCGGATTGGCCCCACTTTGGCAGGGATGCGCACAGATGTGAAGAGTCTCACTTTGAACAATCAAAAGACGGGTGCTTTAGAAGTGTTTAGAATATTGGATTGCCTCTGACGAACTCCATGAAAGCCATGTGTCATCTTGCCTGTACTTTTATTGTTCGAGCCTCGTGCCGTCTGTTTGGCTTTGTCAGTTCCTTTTGCGGTGATCCGCCCATTTCTCAACCGATGGTACATGTTGCATTTCAGGTATGAGGGTGCCCGTAGCCCCCCAACTCTACCGCTCACTGACCAGGATAGAATTACCCCGTCAAGATTCATAGGAGGTGCTGCCATTTTAAGATGCTCAAAATCACTTTAAGGCCAGCACCCCCCAATCCTCCGACCTGTCGGTCGACCCCCATACGTAATAATGGGGCCCATAGGAAGGGTGCTCCCGTCCACCTTTTTTACCCAGGGACAATGCCCTATTCATAAACAAGGGTTTATTAATCCGGGGTCAACATGAATCCAGGTGAACAATGTTCCAGCCGCCTTTTTTCTCGATCGGCGCAGTCCTCTCCGGCGAATCTGGGTCTCTTCGACGTGGTGCTAGTGGCCACCCGGAAAGCGAGCGGGTAGATCGAAAGACGCAGGGAATGAGTTGGAATAACCTCAAAAGAAATCATCTGCCATGGTTTCCCCTAAAGAATTCCCCAGGCTGCATGCTCATTCCCAACACCCTGAATCAGCCCCCCCCCCCCCGAACTGCCCGGAACTTTCCACACAACATGGGCGTGTCTTATTGACAAACAAAAAGTACGGCCCCTTTGCCACACCAAAAAGGCTACCCTCAGAAAATATACCCACACGTTTGCTGCCATGGCCAAGTCTTGGGAACAAGGAACGGCATGTCGAGCATGAGTGCCCCATAGTGCCCCCAACTTTTTCCTCATGAATTTGGGCCTTCTGAGTGGCCGCTCACCACATTTTAATGTGTCGCGTTTGGACAGTTTGCAGAATTCGGAAGCATTTGGAGGGTTCCGAAGATAGGCGTTCTTTCTAGATCAGTTTGGTTGACAATGTATGCCTCCGGTTTCAGTTCGGTTCGGTCTTTTTCCAGTGCCATCTATTTTGCCAAATCAACCGCGCCCAGGTCAACTATGCCTGCCGCCCACTGCTGCCTTGGAGTCTGGGCAGCAGTTTGGGTTGCTTCATGGTTTAGGGTCGTGGTTTAGGGTGGTATTAGGGCGGTTTACTGGTGGGCTTGGGGTGTGTTGAGGGTGGGGTTAGCATTTAAATTGCAGAGGTTGGTGGATTTAGGATACATGCCGGGTGGCCGAGTGGCTTTATTGTTGGTTGAAGGCCGGTGGGCTTAGTTTGTTTTGTTTTCTCGGGGCGGGGATGGATCGATCCAATTGTTTTTTCTTGCTAGTGCTCAGTATGGAATGAGGGAACCGTTGGAGCTTCCCGAATCCAAGAAGCCACCAGTTGCCTGAACCGTTTTCTTGGGTCATTTTCCAGAACTCTCAGGGCCTATGAGCATCTCTCGCGCTCATCGATCGCCAGTTCCCCCCGAATTCGACCCGAGGATCCTGGAGCTCGTGGCGCTTGGGGGCCTTCTGATCTTCGAAGCCTGGGCCGAGGGCAACGAAGACTTCGCGCAGGCCGCCAGCCCCCAGGAGCCTCGTATGTTTGGTGGACTCGCGGGCAAGAGTCCTCATTATGGTTGTCAAGGGCCTCCCAACAAGAACCCCCCAATCCCAAACGGGCTAGCAGCGACTAAGAAGGCCGATTAGGGGCGAGTAGGGTTCCCTTTTGTTCATAGGGGGGGGGCCTCTTTGAAGGCCGCCATGTGCAAGAGTCATCAGGAGCATTTGTCAGATTTCAGTCAGAAAGAAAGGTTCTCAGGAGCCTGAGAAGAGGTTCTAGTCGAGGGGCTTCTCCTGAGGTAAGGGGGGTAGCTCGATATGGGTTTCCCGGTGTGGTCGTTTGGAAGTGGCCTTGCAGTCGAAGCAGGATATGCTACGAAATGGCGTGTTAAGTTTTACAAATGATGTACGGGTCAAATGTAAACCACCATGCAGGGCACCTTTTGAGGTTTTGGGTTCGGTTTCCTGGGGCAACCCATTTTGGGTACCTATTTTGGACCCACACCTAAATAATGTCAATCGTCAAGCTCGGGGATGAGGCATCCACCCAGTGAGTTTATTTGACGAGCCCTCTGGCATCATGCTTTTTCCCGGGCAGATACCCTGACGCTCTACTGAGGAGTGGGGCAAGCATAGGATCTAGCATTGCGATTTTTCTATTGAACATCTTTTGTCTAACTCGTTGCTGTCAATATTTAAGTCCTAGTTGACTTGAACTTGGTGGCGTTTGCCTGACACCTTGTTCCAAGAAGTCCTTTCTTTTGTTTCTAGACCCTTTGTTGACAGCGTTCCGTCGTTTCCCGCTTGTTTGGCCTGCTTGCATGTTTGTTGGATCTCTGCCGACTCAGGACTGATGCCAAGCAAGTCATACCCCCTTAAATTCAGATCGAATCGTAGCAAGGAAGCCCACAGCTTCCTTTGTTGTGGCTCTGGACTCCTTTCGCATTTGCCTGGTGGCTTCGTTCACTTCCAGTTGTCAAAGTGATTTCTTTCCCAATGGTCTATGGAGGGAGCTGGTCATGACAGAAGGCATGTGATGCGTTTGTTCGTGCCCCATTGGCTTCGGGGGATGCTAACGTCAGTCACAACTGGCCAACAAGCATTCTTGACTCTACGGCGCCGAGGAAATAGAAGATCCAGTTGGCATTCGATCGGGATGCGCCCATCCCATCCGCTTCCTTTGCTAGGGCATGGGACTTGCAACTTTAGGCGTAACCTTGCAAGAATCTTACCTCTTAAAAACACAACTTGTCAACTTTTTGGGTAACATGGGCTATATGTCTGTAAAAGATTAACTTCCCCAGGGCGCAGGGAGTTTTGAGGGGTAAGGAATGGCTAGCGCTAGTCATTCTCTAGTCTTGGTGGTTCACGGCCATCCCCTTAGGTTATGAGTTGTTCGGACTGGGTCATTGCCTAGCTATGGCACCAGCAAGTGTTGGTTTCAACGGAAAACCAAAGGGGCAGTTGCCATTCTGGGGGCCCCTCCCAAAAAAACACAAACACACAGATAGATAGATAGATAGATAGATAGATAGATAGATAGATAGATAGATAGATAGATAGATAGATAGATAGATAGATAGATAGATAGATATATATATATATATATATTTAGTTGGGCACCTGTGACACAGGGGGTGCCCCAAAAAGGGTTTTCCTTTAACCCAAGGCGTAAAAGGAGGCAAAACCTCAGCTCCGCTTGCAAAAACCAAAGTTAGGCGCTGGAGCGGCTGCTGCGGCCCAATGAGCTGCTGCAAGCGGTGCTTCCGAGCTTCACCGTGCCCCTCGGTGGGTTACGCCCGGTGCTGCTTGTTGGTACGGGGGGAAGGGTAGGTGCCGGTGGGGCCGCGAACAAAGTTGGCGCTCAGGTGTACGGACTGTGGTTGGATCAGGTGTTTAGCTTCGTCTTTTTTTGGTTCGGTTCATTTTGCATACGGGGGCTACAAAAAGCAAAGCTTTTTGCTACTGTGCCAAGGGCGTTGATTTCAGTACCAATTGTCCAAAAGGGTCGGTACTCTCCAACATGCAGGCTGACTGGGGGCTATTGGAAGACGATTTTCGCGAGGGACTTGTCAGCTTTTCTGCTCGTGGGAGGGGCGGTGGCATCTTATGTCTCCGCTTTTCACTCAAATGCTGGCAGGACAGATTGATCTTGGTTTGGGGCTTGAACCCCCCAGAAATAGGATACGGTCTGGATTTGTGTCCCTTGACATGTCGTTGCAAGGCCGATCCGCAGGTCGGGTGTTGTCGCTTGGGACTTCTCAGCCGAGGCTGGCCTATGCCCACGGTCTGCAGGAGGACTATGAGGGCAGAGACTGCGTGAAGCAGATGATTTGTGCTCGCCGGACTGGGGAAGGCCCACGTCAAAATGTGTAGGTGGGGGTTGCGGACCAACTGATCCCCCTGGAATTGTCCCGAACGTAAGGGCTTGCTGTTTGACGAGAAGCAGGATGTGCAGCCGGTAGGCAACCAGGCTGCTTCTCGCCAACGTCACGTGGAAGATGGCTTTGGGTCAAATAAAGTTGGCAACGAGAAGCCAAATGGTCCGGCCTATGAAGAAGACGTTGAGTTTTATACTCGGGCACCGGAAAGGCCAGACCGTAGACCAAAAAGTTGTTCGGTTCCTTTCCGCCGCAGGTGTCACATCCCAGCACCCGACTCACCTGCTCAAGCGCTTGCTTGCGACAACGCCTGATGCATCCTTCCTGAAGGAGTGGGGCATATCAGCGGAGCGCAGACACGCGCGAGCCCTTTCTCTCCCGAAGCTTCATCAAATTGAGAGTCCTCCAAGACTATCAGCCGCGTTGAGGATTCCCATGTCAGCTTTGAGCGGTGTAGCGTGACCATCAAGCTTCTGGGTAGCTGGCCCCATTGTCCACATGATCTACAGCTTCTGTTCACTGCCGGTTGCACTGTGTGGCAAAAGGGCAAGCCCATTCTGACCCCATCTGAATATGGCCTGGGCTGTGTTCTTGCGACAGACTCCCATTTCCTAGTTTCATGGCAGATCCCTCAAAGAGCGAGGGCTTCAGTTGATTTCCATGAGCCTTTTCTCATCCTTCAGCCAACAGGGACGTGCACTTGCTGAACGATAGCGACAGCCTCCTGAAAATCCTGATGATGTTTGCTTCACGTTGTGTGTTATACCTTTTATGTGCCTTCCACCAAGCTTTGCCGCACATGCGGTCTTCTGATCAACACCCTGCATTTGGCTCAGGAGCCCTGCTTCGGCAAAGAGTGGCTGCACGCGGCGGGTGCTGCGCCGCTGCTCCACTTCGGCGTGGAGGAGCGACCTGATGCGACACGATGCGCGGCGAGCTGGTGGCCTCAGTGGGATAGCTTCGTGGCGGGATAGGTCCTGGGCCAATTGTGACAACCTGGGGGATGAAACACGCACTTCATGGGTCAGGGAAACCGACTAGCAGGGATACAGGGGGAACCAGGGATACGGGAGGATTCCCCCTAAATGCACCTTGACCAAGTTTGATATGGGAAATGGCGCCGGGGAATCTCTCCATATCCCGCTCCCTCCGTACCCCCGCTTGTTTGTTTGTCCAATATACTTTGTTGCGTTCTCTCCAGTGGTCCGCAAAATGTGCCCATAAAGCCAAGGAATGCGGCGGTGTTGAAAAGGAAGACTTGGTAAGCAACTGGAGGCCCGACCTTTGTAAGCTCCACTTGCCTGGATTGGTGTCCAGGAGCTGTTGCATCTGCTTCGGGGCTACGACCCCAAGGCCGCCAGGGCGGAGTACCTTGCCCGGCACCCCAGCGATGTGAAGGGCCGGTTTTGTGACAGATGTGTTGCTGGTGAGCACCTACCCTTGCCTTTGCCCGGGAGCTTGGTCCAGCACAGCGAAGCCATGACGGCGCCTTTTCTTTTTGCAAACATGCCAATGAACCAGGGCGGGCTGCTCCTTAAAATCAACAATTTCGTCATTTTGCAGAGGCAGTTGCCCAGAGTTTTGGTTGCAGGCGTGGACTCGGCCGGTTTGCTCAAACGCGCAGCCGTTTGAGGGGTCAGACTGGCTTGTGGCCGGGCGTGCGGGGTTGTCCGTTGATATTTGCTGGGGCTGGAGCTCAGCACTCTAAGGTCCCACCCCAAAAGGAAACAAGCTGCCAGCACTGTGCTGTTCGACCTCTAGGCCAGCACTTGGATTTCGCCATGAAGGTTTAAGTCCTACACGCGGTGACTGGCCAAGCAGAGGGCAATGCAATCCACCTCTCAGTGTGACAGGAGGCTAGCTTGCGACGAGCCGTTTCCCGAATCTTGACGCATTCCCACACTTGTACAAGTCCGCTCCATGTATTTTCCAACACTGACGCGCACAATCATGGAATCACGCCCGCCACCCCTTAGCATTGGTTCTGTTGGATCTCAAGAACTATTTGTTCTTCATGCGCCTGGGCTTCTTTGCCCAGAAAGCAAACATATTTTTTGTGTTTCTTGGGCCCAGTCCATTCCACACATTCGCACGCCGACCCTGTGCCGCCGGCGTGATCCGTCCGGCGAGCGGTGATGCGGTGATGGCGCCCAAGCAGGCGGCGCTGGAGGCACCTCCAGCAGATGAGGCCGCCGCTTGAAACTGCGAAAGTTGGGTCGAGACGCGTTTGGTGGAATTGTAAGGGGGGGGTGTGATAATGCTGCCCACCATATATCAATAAATCGTTTATGAATGAGTTTGTTTGGTGTGTCTGGGTTCAGACCTCTTTTGGAGGGGCCCCCAACCCCCTATTAATCAACTGGGTTTGATTAATATTGGGTCGACATTAATCCGGGCCAACAATGTTTCAGCCGCCCTTGGACCACCTAAGAAACCCTTAAATGAGGAAACCATTTCTTTTTCGAAATGAACTTTGTCCGCAGTGCTGGTGCCTCCAAAGGGTTTTTTCGATCCAACTGAAACCCTGAGGGCTTCTATGTGGCGGTGCCCAGCTACCGCCGGGAGCGCCTCATCCAGGCGCAAGCCGAAGCCACGCCTCATGCCATGGGTGCCTGGCGCAAAGCCCTGAACAAAACGTTGAAAAAAGGGGCTTAATAAGTCCTTCCCCCCCCCATGAGCTGCTATGGCCCTGTTGTAACATTTACACCGTATTGATTCCGTAGCTCCTTGCGAACTACAAGTACCATGTGAGACCTGTAGTGTCATGCATCAGCTTAGAGTAAATATGCAGATACGGCTTCATTGCACAATGAACGCTTGCATGATTTCTATGTGTCTGTACTTGGCAGCAGCAGCAGCAGCAGCAGCAGCAGCAGCAGCAGCAGCAGAACGAGTCATGTTCCAAGCGGGCAGTCCCAAACCTGAGCCTTGCGAAAGCGCCGGCTGCCAGGTGAGGACCTTAGCCCTCCTGGACCGTCAATCGGTTCCGCGGCACCGGGTCTACATCTTCGTGGCGGACGAAGCGCAGCGGGAGGTGTACCAAAAGGTCCTGACAGGCCAAGGGTTTGGACAAAAGTCCTTCGGCTGGGTGCTGGCATAGGCCCATATTATTGGAAAAGCAAACCACGAGCAACGAATGAGTGGCATCTCTCATTCTTTCCAAGGTCCACTATTTCACACCCTGCCTTGCAGTTTGGCTTGCCTGCAGGCAGCCGCACTTCAAATGATCCTTTCTCGACCCGGCATTGGATGCTTCCACTCCCTGAGAGGCTGGCCCAACATTGTGACGGGAGTTCCCACTCTCTGGCGGCAGCGGAACTTCATTGCGGCCTTCTTCCGGGCGGGAACCCACGTGGTTTCCATGGATGACGACGTGGAGGAGCTCTTCCAGTGCATGCCCTGCAAGCCGGATGCGGCCTGCCTGGATGCCAAGTTGATGCCACTGCCCGCTGGCGCCCTAGCCAGGATTGCAGCAGACGCCAAAAGGCGCATGAAGGAATGGGGCGCCTTCTTGTGGTCGCTGAATGTCAGTGACAACACCTTCTACATGAGGCAGAACATTGCCCACAACAATGGCCTGTGCAATGGCTTCTTCTGGGGCTGCCTCATCCGTCATGATGAGGACTTCGGGCGGACGGCTTTTTTCTTGAAGGTTCTTGCTGGTATTTACGAGCACCAAAGGGCGCTATATAGCTGGCCTCATCGCCTTGTTGAGGCCTTTTCGGACTAGCGGGCTTTTTCTGTGCCATGCTGGTGGAGCTGACCGTGTCTCACAGGCACTCCTGATGCACTGATGCCATCTTTCAATCTTCGCCCCTTTGTTTCTTCGACCTGGCAGGGTTCGTTGAGTTGTCGTCCAACCCATGGGCCGTTGCCGGTGACAAACCAGGGTTTGGAGGCTGGCCACGGCCCAGAAAGCTCCCTCAGATGCTCGCCTTTGCCTTTGCCAAGGTCTCAAAGGGGGAAAATTTGGGGAGGGGGGATTCGAACCCTGGAGATCTCCATCTAGAGTTTCATGGTCCCTTTTGTGGGGAATACTGGAAACATGGAATTCAGGGGGGGAACTTTCCGCCCTGCAATTCCCGCTCCCCCTTGAGGTTCGGGGAATCGATTGATCCATCCCGGTGCTGATTTGGCTGATCCGGGGCTTGTGCTTTTGTTGCACTGTTCCCCTTGCCCCGTGCGGATTTGGACAAATATCTCAAACCGTGGCTTTGAGCTGAACTTCATGATCTGGTTTACTTGCTGCGATAGGTAAGGAACGATCCAGGGTTTTGGGAATGAACCGGTTCTGGAAATTCCCTTAAAGGAAGCCAGTCATTCCAATTCTCATTTCCTGCCTATCGAACCGATCGCAGGAAGAATCAAGGGTGTGACTCATCAACTGGGTTCCAACGGCTTCTGGCAGTTCCGGTTAACCGGACCCTTAAGACATTCTGTGGATGGACGAAATCCATTTCGCACCACTTTGAATCCAGGGTTTGAAACCATGGTTCGTTGGTATTTCCTGGGAAATCCTTCCAGGATTTCTCAACGGTGCGAAATGGATTTCGTCCATGCATAGGTGGCTAGGTCCCCCAGTAGTGCCCTGTTACCATTTCTTTTTTTTGGGGGAGGGGCTCCCCTACTAAAATAGACAGAAAAAAGTTGGTACCCTTATTCTAACCTCTCTACTGGAGGACCTAGGTGGCAGCCACCCCTCCCCCGAGGCTCCCCCGAGCCGTCGAGGACTTAGTGCTGAGCTGCGGGGACGGCCACGAGGACGTGGAGCGCTCCGCGCGCTTCTTCCGGAAGGACGGCCTGGTGATCCGGTACCGCTTCCTCTGTGCCGCCCGGGCAGAGACCGATGGGCAGTATTGAGCTTCCATTTGCTTAAGAATATTGATTATTTTACCTTGTTGTTTGTTTTGAAAAGGAAATTATCACTACTGGATATGGTTTTATTTTTTCGGGGGTCTTAACCAAATGGAAGCGAATTAAATCCCAGTGCTTCCGATTGGTGTGTTAGCCGCCATGAAAGGTGGCTTGCAACCAACAAAAATCCTTAGCTCACATAGAACCGCATGGGGGACAAACGTACGGCTGTGCCTTTGAAAGACCAACCCTTAGGGAAAAATGCTGTGTTTGGGCCTGTTTGGGCAGTTGAAGGGCCAAATCCTACGGAGTAGTGTAGGGGAGTTGTTAAATTGGCATGACATGTGTGCCGATTTTACCCCCCCACCCAGTGGCATAGCAGCAGCCCTGTACCAGTTTAGTGGCATGACTTGGCTTCCCTTCGCCCCCACGCGGCGACCTCAAGCCGGTGAAGTGGAGCTGTTCGACGTGGCGCTACAGAAATCATTCCCTCGGCAGTGCGGCTGCATCCTGCGAAAATGCAACCCTACAGGAACGCTGTTCGCTATGAGCACTTGTTTGGCCTTTCCTGGTGCTGAGCTGCAATATGCCAGGGCAAGATGGAAACGCGGTCCCGCCTGAATGTTGAACAATTGCACCTATGGGCCAAAGGTTTTGCATCAGGCCTTGAGCAGGTTTGGATGTCCACCGTGGGGAAAATGGTTCGCAAGATAATCATGTCCACCGTGGCGAAAATGGTTCTCAAGATAAGCATGCATCACGAGCATGAAGACAAGGAGGGCCCCAAGTTACTGCTCCCTATGCGTTGTGAACCATTCATTGCGTGGTTTTGCGCCCGCTGTCCAGTAAACATAGCCTGCCACTTGAGCTTGAGTTTATAGACTGCTGCACGTTGACTTTCCGACTTATATGTTGTCCTGAGCGAGCAATGGCGAGCAATTATGGGATCACTTGCCGTTGGTTGAAAAAGTCTGGATTGATCAACATCAATCCTTTGGGCTTGCGCCAGATGGTCGGGTTTTGCTTGTTGTAGTGGCCTCCCGCTACCCAAAAGTCACCACGGAAAATCGGACACGACGACCCCTTGAAAGCAGCGCTTCACAGGGCTTCCCGGCTTCAGTGCCCCATGGCCCATCGAGGCCAAGACGCGGTGCAAGGCGAACCCCGGCGGCTTGCAGGCCCTGATGAAGGGCACGCGCAGTGATGAGGAGGACGGGCTCATTCGCCTGGAGCCAACCTCGGGACCTTTTGGTGTTGAGTGGTTTGTCATTTATGTAATTTGAAGAAAGAGGGTAAAGTTTTTAAATACCCCGTTTTTTAAATTTAGGTCATTCCTTACATGGTTAGTGTTCGCCAACTGTTTTTCCTCCTCGTAGGTCATTTCTTACATGGTGAATTTCGCCTGGTTTGTTTCCTCCCGGGTCTGGCAAGTGGCAGCTGCCAATGAAGTGAGGGTCTGGTCCTGGCGACGGAAGGAGCAGGGCGCAAAGCGCCTGGTGGCTGCGTTCCCGCACCTCCTG